TAATCAAAATTCTTTGAGTTTCTAAAGTTTTCAATAAAATATTGTTCATATATATCGTTCATCGTTAAAAAAAAGATTGAAACATTTTTCAGATATCTCAGAATTAACGACTTTTCTTTTTTTGAAGTATCATCTTTCTAGCAAGCTATAAAAGACAATTGATATAATCTAAAAGAACTACACTAAGGCAATATAAAAGCTTTCGAATTGTTCGTGAAAAAAATAATAACGCAGTAATACTGTAGTCTGGAAAATATAATATTATTTTATATCGATATTGAATAAATATTAAAGATAAAAATCTCGATGGAATAATCGATCCAATATAAAAACTAATTCTAAAATTAAGTTCTACCTGGGCAGTAATACTCATACACATTTACGTTCAATTTTGCCATACCAAACAGTATTATACTGGTTGACAAATTCTACTATTAGAACCTGTGCTCATAAGGAACACTATATTGAATAAAAAATGAAAGTAGTACGAAATAAAAATAACAGTGCTTGTGCGCTCCATACAGAAAAATGAAAGACTAATAAAACAGGTAAAATTAATCACTATATGTAAGGCATGAGCTCTATATTAAATTATGTAAGCAGATTTTGAATTTTTTCTTTAAATTAAAATATGTAGTATTTTACTACTAAAATGTTAGTACATCAGTCAGATTTTTCACTGTATTGGCAAGCATTAGGCATTAGTATTAAACATCAACTCAAATTGAGATCTAGAGTTGAAATAAAATATAAATATACTACTTTATAAATAGTTTATAAATATAATACTTAAATCTTAATATTTTTAATTATCAAGTGCACGTATAATATAATAAAATTAGACTTTCTCATTAAATATATAAGATAATCATTTAATTTTCGCATCTAATATATACAGGCTGTTCTAAATTTAAATATTAAAACTTCGGGAGAAATATAGAAAATTGATAAACTAAATTGTTTTTTTTTGCGATTTTCTTTAAAATGTAACAAAAACAAGTATATCTTTAAAAAACTTTTTTTCTTAGTTTATCGATGTTACGTGCCCAAAGTTTTGACATTTAAATTCCTGTATATTATGGTAATGTAAAATATAAATTAAAGCTTGATTTAATATAGAGCTTGCTTTTCTTACACAATTTTAAATTTTAATGAAACTAATTATGACTTTAACGAATTCATATAAAGGATTTGTTTTACTCTTTGAATTTTATATCAAAGCACCGAAGTGCAAAGAAGTCAGTCTAACAAATTATTAATTATCAAATGTATATACATACATATGTATATATGTGTATATATATATACATACATATATATACATATATACTATATATATGTATACATGTACATATATATGCGTGATAAGCGCAATTTTATTTGACGATGTAAACATTATTGTTCAGACCTGATAATGCGTGTTACGATTGTAACAATTATCGCAAATATCATTCAAATACATCAGAGATAACAAAGGAACTTGTACAAACGTCATTATTATGATATTCAATAAATTTTAGGTGCTGAACGATCGTTGATGGGACCACTAGTCTTTCTCAAAGAGGTACCTTTTCGTATTTGATCCATGAGAGAATCTCTGACTTGTAAAGGATCCATAATAGGTACACGATTACCCATTATGCGTCTTACACTTGCTGATCTACTCGTTGTATTATTTCCTTGTAAGTTTTGCTGTTGTTGTGCTAATTTAGCATTCAAAGTTTCAAGAAAACCAGAGGGTGTTTTAGAATTTTTATTTATCTGCTGTTCAATGGAATGCTTTCTGGCAGATTTAGGGCTGCTATTTGTATTACTGCCACTCGTAGTATTATTACCTGTACTGTTAATGAGTTTAGCACTGAGAACCGCCATAAAACTTTGACCAACTCCCCCTGGACCTTGCCCTTGAATATTTACACCTGTATTGACAGTAGTTATTTGTGTTGTATTTGAACTACGTTCTTGAGAAGCTGAACGAATCGCTGCACATGAACGTTCAACAGAAGATCGAGTTACTTGCAATACGGCATTATGTGGTAATGTAGCAGAATTGTTATGCGATTGTGCTTGTCCTGTAGCCTTTCGTAAAAGAGATGGACTAGCAGGTGTATGACGTAATTCTGTAAGAGTCCTTACTGTTTCAGACACTGAAATAGATCTGCAATATGAAAAAAGATTAGCCATTTAATGTACCAATAGAAATAAAAGAAAATTATTTCCTACCGCTGAGGAGTCGGACTGGCTGTAGGTGAAGAACCTTCTAACAAAAATGCTGGTGGTGGAGGAAGATTTTCAGTTTCGTCACATGCATTATCAGTACGTTCATCATTAGAACCTGATGAAGGATTATTAAATGTAGCAGTTATAATAGTAGACGTTCGTCTTGTTGGTGGTGGAGGTTTGTTCACTTGTTGCATCGATCCTCTACGGACTGTTAAAGTAGATGTAGCACCAGGTACATTCCAAACATTCTCACTTGGATTGTGGAGTGAATGAGAATGTGGTATAGTAGTTTGACTTCCATATCCACTACTAGACTCGACACTAGATTCTGATGTTTGACTTCCACCATCTTTTTCCGTAATTTCAGTCTGACAAAGAAGAAGTACATATATTCATATATATGTACTTGTACTATATTCAGAGAATATTATATATACCTTTTCAGTTCCTGGCGCTGATAATGAAGCAGGAGGTGGTGGTAAAGGTAACTGCATCTCCTGAGCACGACTTGCAGCTAAATTTGCTAATTCGTGCATGTTCACATACATTGGTTGTTGAAGTTGATGAGTTGCTAATTCTGTATTATATCATAATATTATATCGTAATATTACATAATATTACCACTTTCTAAAAATTAGTGTAAGCGATAAGAATTAATATACACCTTTTACTAAGTGTGCTGGAAGTGGTAACTTAGGTTTCCCTCGAGGACTTCCAGGAGGCTCATTTTTTACTGGAACTGTTGGTCTCTCTAGACTGGAACATCTGTTTGGTATAGGAGGGCGGTGACTACCATTATTTCTACGCAATTGTACTCTGGATGTTTGTTGATTAGAGGAAGAACATGAAGAGGAAGAAGAAACTGGAGAAGCAGGTTGACTATGACAACAACCACTATTATCTGGAGCTTGGAATGTGTAAACACTGAGTGCTGGTCTCTGATGGCCCTTTTCGTAAGCTACAATAATTGATACAATATTATAAATAATGAATTATTTATAATACTTACACAAATTTTAAATAATGTTTCCCTTACCAGAAGAAATTGTGTGCGGCCGTTCGTTGATTGTGTTCTGATTTTGTCTATCATATTGAACTGATGTTTCCTGCAAGTCAGGCCAAGTAGCAGTAGTTACAGATCTTGTTGTAGTACAACCAGTATTTTGATTAGTATGAGAAGACACATTTGATACCTATAACACAAATTAATTTAAATAAGACATGTATCAGAAAATGTAGTGCTCTGTTCAATATTGTAAATAAAAATAAAAATATAAAATGCTTGCAAGCAACTAATTTCTAACAACCTTACCTGATGTTCAGAAATTGGTTGTGTATATAATGTGTCCTGAGAAGTGAAGCCAGAGTCACGGGAACTACCGTTTATCAAATGGCGTAGTGTCATCATACCGTTGATGCTGGAGGGCCTGACACCGACAGGCTACAACGAGTACAACATCGACTACCACATACACTAAACCAATAGCATTCATGCTATGATCTATAAGCAACTACTTGCTTGAAACATAGCTAGTGCATAAGTAGTGAAACTAATGTGCCATGCATTACGAAAAGTTGACATTCTTAATACAGTAACTAGGTAGAACGGAAAAAATGTAATATCGATTGTTTATCTTACTGTAATTTTCACCTGGGAAAGTGATCTATGCCATGGATGCCCAGACGGACTTGGATGACTTTTACAAGAACCACTGCTACTACTGGTCAGTGAACTGATTGAACACATTGAACTTTTTCTTGATCCAAGTGACAGAGAAGGACTTGAGGGCGGTGTAGCAAGCGACCATTGTGTTACATCGCAACCTTTTATGTCTGTTATCACTTGTTCTGATGCAGGAGGCAAGTGATGTGGAGAGGCTGCATGTCGTTGTAGTTGATCAGAAACTTCTTGCAAATGAGTCAGTTCCATTAACATTGCAATTTCTTCATCCTACAATTTTTTTAAACCGACTGTTAACAATATTATTTGAAATTAAATTATTGACTATCCAATAATTATAATTAATTTTACTAACAAGTACTGGTTTTAAAAATCTGGCAAGAAGGCAATATCTGCCCCTTTCTTCAAGTAAAGCCGCACGAACGGCTTTTCTTTCCGTTTCTTCTAAACTTAATCGTTTTTCTTGAACAACAGCAGCTGAAGACTCAAGCATTCGATTCAATTCAATATCACCTGATGATGTCCCGTGTCCTTGTGATTGTCCTTGTAAATGTCCTTTTCGTGCTTTTTTCTTTTGCAAACGTAATGTATCAGTAGATCGCTTTCTTAGTTCTGCTTTTGCTTTCTTATATTCTAAAATTACCAAAATTTCAGATATATTTCAACATTTTTAAAAATTCTATTATTAAATATACTAACCTTTAGCATGTTCTTTATCTAAATTTATTAGAGATTTTTTCCAATCTTCTAATTTTTCTTGAAGAGGTAATACCAAGCAATCCATAATAGCACTAATAAAAAAATATTTAAATAAATGATACTTATATTTAATGAATAAATATGAAAAGTTAGTGTTTAATGATAAATTACCTAGTGAATGATTTCATACGTGTTTCTACTGCTTTATGTCTAAGACATATCCGAGTTAAAGCAGTTCCAATTTCTTTTGTTGCACCTTAATTACAATATTTTATTAGACTAAATGTTTTAAAACGGTTCATAAAAAAAATTAAGAAAAAAAAATGATACAAATAAATTGATATATAATTGATACATAATTATTTGTAATAAATATAAAAACAATTTACCTCTTGCATTAGTTGCAGCATCAGCAATTTTTTGAAAAGTATCAAGGTATGCTGAAATAGCTAAAATGGCAGCCCTAAAAAAGTGAAAATAAAAGTGCAATACATATTACATGTTACATTATTCTAAAATGAATTTTATAATAAATTTTACGTTTATTTAGTAAATTTTATTTTTATCTTTTTTCTATGTTTTATAACAATTAGCGATACTATTTACCATAGAAAAATAAATTTACAAATAAAATATGATCATTACCTTAGACAAGAATGTAATTTGGTTGCTTTTGAAATTAAATCTTCCCATAACGGTGCTCCATTCTAGAAACAAATTTTATAATCTTTTTTTATTTGTAAAAATAATGAATATATAATTTTTATACTTTGTACAAACAGTATAGTACCTTAAAATACACCAGGAAACATTTAATACAGTAATGCAATCGCATACACCTACCTATTTTTTGTAATTAAATAATTTTATGAACTAGGAAACTACCTTGAGAAAAAAGTAAATTGTTACATAACTATACTATACTACATGCATTTTTATGGCTGTTTCACAAGATTAAATAATATTTTACAGTACATATTTTACAGTACATATATAATAATAATGACATTTATTAAATAGAATTATGTTAAAAATGTATTTTATTACAATATTATAATATTATGTAATTATGTAATAAAAAAAATTATTAGTTTTACTTAGAGTAACAAAATATACACATTTACTATCTCGTAAAAATAAAAGAAATATTTTGGAGTGTTGCAGAACTGGAACAAGTGTAAATTACCTATCGTCCTCGTTTTACCGTATTGAAGTATCACAATTGTTTCGGAGAATAGTTTTTAGGATCAGTACGAACAATACTTTCAAAAGGTACCGCAAAAAGAACTAATTGAATATGTTATCTTTTCGATTAGAATAATTTCACAATATTTACGAAATAGATGTATTAAAGACAATTGCATCGACAGCGCGCCTTGGCCTGCATCGTTACTTGTGCAAAGATAAGAAAGCGTACAAAAAACAATGAACAGGAAAAAACGCGGTCGTGTATAAACAGAATAAATATCGAAACATTGATACACCATATCAACGTTATCTTACCTTCATGTCAATTATAATCTGTTGAAAGAGGCCACCCAAAGCACTGCATTCTCTCTCAATTGTTGCATCCATCTTTGACTGTCTAAAATTTTTTCCTTACTTGGTCCTGATAAAGTTCTTCCACATTAGAATTCGTAGAATAGCTTCACTTTTTGTCATCCATGTAGATATGTACAAGATCTCCATAAGAATACTGGCGATTCGTAAGATTCGCCATTTTCGTAACAAGAGACAAGTTTGAGGTAACACAGGAAAATACAACTAAATGTATTTATCTACACTGAATTCTCTCATATATGTATGTCACAATGATTCTGAAGATAACGATTCGAAAAATCGACCGATTACTGTACGACTTTCACAGTTATTCTCCAACAATTTGGAATCATAACACCAATTGGTTTTGTCAAGGAAAATTGTAAACACTAGGGGACGGGTATCTCAACACAACGCACTCATTCTGAAAAGCAAGTATGGCTCTCGTTCGCGTCTGCGTCGACTCTGTTTTCGTTGTAATACCTGAGAGTATCTCGTGTTCCCTACGGCGACCCCGTTTCGCAACTTCAAATTGAGGATTCGGGGTATATCTAATCGTTACTCAGGGTAACGGCTCTCTCTACCCCTTAGACGATCACTTCCGGACTATGGGCATTGAAAGAGGACATCCTGCATCATTGCTCGCTTATTCTGATTGGATATAGAGAACAGTTATGGGGAAATGTTTACTACATGTAGATTCCTATCTGCTATTCTTGTTCCTAGATCGTGCGATTAAAACGGATTTCTCGGTCCAAAAAGTATTGACACAAAACGCAAGTGAAACAGAAAATAATTCAAAGAAACAAGAACTATGAGCCTTGTATTAAAACACCATGAATCGTTTTATGACACGTTATTTGGATATTTTACAGCGTCAAGTGAAATTTTAAACATTTTTAAATTTATTACCGCTGCTGGATTTATCGTAGTTCTTTCTTATATATTTTATTACATTCATGGTAGATATGTTTTGAAATTTCAAATTTCTAATAATTAGTTGCATGCCAATTAAGATCTTCCTAATTATTATAATTAGTAGAGATTATATACGAAAGAAATATTTTTAATATGAATTGCAGATTATCGTTATAAAAGAATCTCAAATGAGCCGAAATGTAACTTGTTAGAATTACAAAAATTTAAGAATTATAATCGTTTAATTGCCAGACATCATAGTATTATTAGTCATAAAGAAATGATAAAAGCTTTGGAATATGCGACTGATGTAAACTAAATACTGTTATATAACGTGAATTATAAAATATTACATATAAAATTTTATATGAAAAGAAATTTTTTAAACATATTTGTTCAATTCCTATTCTGAATTTTATTTTATAGTATACTATATTTGTAAAATATGTATCATCATATATATTATTTTTTAGAGATGTTATGAAAAATTTTATGCATTAAAATGCATAGATATAATAGTAAATTGCCCTCAATTGGTAAATGTAAAATCTCTACCTTATGGTTTAACACCTTTTCATCGTGTTTGTTTTCAAGGTCATAAGTGTTTAATTGCCTTTATGTTAGCAAAGGGTATATAATTATATAACGATATAATAATGTAATGCATGATATAGATATCATTTCTAAATTTGTATATATAGGTGCTGATCCTTTTCTCACTACAATGATAGGAGAAAATGCTTTATGTATAGCTATTTATTATTTTCTCAATAATCCAATGGATACTGATTTTTCTTGTCTTGAAATGCTTGCAGAAACTGGTTAGTTGTTATATAAATTTATTTTATCATTAACAGATGATGTTTTAAATATTATATTTTTTATTTTCACAGGATGTGGATTTGGTTTTAAAGATAAGTATTACAATAATTTGTTAGAAATAGCATTTAATAAGAATCACATAAAATTAGTACAATGGTTAATTTTACATTATAAAGTCTCTTCACACAAATCCTTGCGTTGCCTTTCTACGCCACCAATATAAAAGAATTATAAATTTAATTAACATGTATATTTTCATTAATACATCATTATATTATCTTTATATACTATATCTAAAATATTATACAAAATATTAGAAATTATCTTAATTTATTTTCATATGTGATATGTAAAATGCAAGTTATGATTATAAATGTAAATTAAGATATAGGTTATAAATAAAAAATGGATATTAATTAAAATTAATTGATTACTTAATGATTTCTCACTAGAAAGTTTTAATACATTCAAAAATAATAAATATGTATTA